AGATGGGGTATGTGTCTCATGCTAAATTCATAACTTTTGTTTGTATTAAGTACTCTATTGTTAGATGTGTTTTTTAATTCTTTTTTTTTTTTGTTTGGTAATCTATTTTCTATATATTGAAAATTTTGACAGATTACAGACTTTGCAAAGTAGAAACCAGAAGAATGCAGACAAAAACTTCCAACACCTTCATACCATAATCTACATCATTTATAGAAACATGGCCTATACAAAAGAATATGCTTCCACATTAAAACCATATTGAGACAAACCCATAAAACAATGGGAAAAATGTCGGAAAATGCGCGAACTTTCAAATTTGGGACAAAAAAGCATGAACTTTTGAAATGTCATTTAAATCATAAAGTTTAGTTTGACTTTTGATAAAATGGTTAAGTTTTCGTTGACCTGGCCATTTTGGACATGTCGTTAAATTTCCGTTAACGAGACGATGACGGGGTTAACTTTCCGTTAGAAATCTCCGTTTAATCGAAACGACGTCGTTTTGAATTGTTCTTAGAATTTTATAAAAGTGGTTTTTTTTATATACTTCCAATCTAACTATAAATATCACATCAATTCAAAACGACGTCGTTTCGATTCAACGGAGATTTCTAACAGAAATTTAACCCCGCCAGCGTCTCGTTAACGGAAATTTAACGACATGCCCAAAATGGCCAAGTCAACAAAAATTTAACCATTTTATCGAAAGTCAAACTAAACGTTATGATTTAAATGACATTTAGAAAGTTCATGCTTTTTTTGTCCCAAATTTGAAAGTTCGCGCATTTTCCGACATTTTTCCCATAAAACAATTAATTAGATGATGAAACTCCCCCTTTCAAATAATCTATTAAGCCAATGAAGATGAGAAGAAGCCGCATAAGAATTTATATGACCCTCAGTATTAACAGTTTGAGCAATGAGACGAGCTGTTCTATTTGCTGATGATTTTTCCCATTCCAATTTCCATCCAATGAAAGATTGAAGTAACCTCAACACTTCACTAGATTCCCCCTTAGAAGAAGGTCAAGCTTGAGGTCTTAAAACATAGCCCCACATTGTTGCATTTTCACACGCAAAAATGATGTTGTCACATTTATGACTGATCATACATTCAATGGTTCAGATAATACTTGTGAAAAATGCACATCAACTATGTAATAGCAGTTCTCCTCTTTCATCTATTAAAACCCATGCAGCGACTGCTACCAAATTCTTTTTGACCACTCAACTTCAATGTTACACTTAAGCCATCTATTTGGAATATGTTTCCAAATACCTTCTGTCTCCAAATGACTAGCTAGCACTAGGCAAATTTAGATACACGAACACTTCTAATAGCCTCCGGTGTGCCACTATTTATCTCTGTATTCGAGTCACTTCTTTGAGTCACAGACTACTCCTCAACATCGTCTGATATTTTCTTTGCTGATTCCTAAGTATTGGAAACTTAACCTTTTTTCTTTTCATTCTCTACCAAATCTCCAAATAGTTTACTAAATTAGGAAATTTTTCATATAAAATTGTTTTTATGTAGGTCTTCTTTATTTAACTGTCAATTATAAATTTCTATTTATTATTTTTACCTTTACTTAGTTAAACAATCATTTTTCACTTGTTTAAATTAGTTAAATAATATACAAATATTAATTATTTTAAATAATATTGGAAGAATAAAAATATTATGTTCCATCTAAAATATTTTTTTAGAACCGCCGTTGTTACCACATCATGGAGGCTTACATAAATGACATGTTTGTAAATCTTTGTAATAGAGAATTATCTATCGATTAGATGACATACTTTTATATATAAAGAATTAATCCGTGATTAAAAAAAATAGCATAACTAAAGACCTACTGTTTTTTTTCAAATGTCAAGGGAAAAGAATTGATTCTACTATATTCAACATCTGCTTCTGTACCCAACAACGTTACATTATGGCCCCGAATGGCAGCGTGATTCAGCTCCGGTGCAGTCACCCTAATCGGAGTGTCACCAATGAATGGCAACGCGTTTTGTAGACGACGTGATTCACCTGCTTTTAGCTTACGATTAACTATTTGTAAAATTGTGCTGAACCTCGCCGCAGATGTTTGATCCGATTGTGGTGCGGCAAGACTCCTTCATCTGTATAATGACAATTATGCCCTTAAGTTATTTCAGAAATTACACATATAATTTTGTTTTCTCCTTCTCACACAGACTCTCCATCGTGATCTGTCACGATTGCTATTATCGCCGGCGTCGTCATCTTTTGTCACCGGTATAATCTTCGTCGCCGGCGTCTTCAAAACCTCTGACGTCTTCTCCATATTTTTTGATCGGTAATATTCACCTTGTGTTCTCTATAAAAAATATTTTTGGATTGCAATAATTGGAATTAAAACTGCTTTTCATATTTTGTAAACACTATAGAAGAAGTGATCTTGTAAAAAAAAATCAAAATATGAAGAAGTGGTGATGAATTTATGAGTTTTTTGTTTAGATAAAGTATAATATATATCGCATGCTATATGTTCGACTAAATGTCTGAATGAGCTTTTTATCTTCTAGATGGGTTTTTCAGCGTGTAAAATAACAATGTTCTTTTGGTCTTTATCTTTGATTATGTCCACAAAACTGGTATGATAGCATAAACCACCGATTGAAACAAGCAATAACGTTGAATAATAACATTAATCAGATTCCAGTGTAACATTAATCAGATTCTTGCTTAAAGCTTTAAACTTACATGCATGTTCTCTGTTCTTTTGTGTTTCAGATTGTTATTATATTGAATGACTAAATTTAATATCTTTTGATAAACTGTTGATGAATGTTTGTAGATTAGAAGCTCGATCCCGTTAAGGTCAAGGATTAAGATCATGCCAAGATTACGAATATCTAAAAAATCTAATGATGAGTCCAATATCGAGGTTTGTATATTTTAGATTGTGTTGTTGATATTTATGACATGTTTGCCTAACTTATGAATTTGTTACCTTTCTTTTTTAGGATTTAACGAACTGGTATTATGGAAATACCCGAATGATGCTGCGTCTTTTTATTGAAAGTCAAAAACCAGACCCAACATGTGATAGGAGATTAATGAGACTTGATCGAGGTCGAGGATGGCGTCACACAATGCAAATAATGAGAGGCTCCAATCGAGAATGTTATGAGACTGTTCGCATGAATCAAGAGACTTTTTTGAGATTGTGCAATACATTAAAGGATAATTATGGATTGATTGGCACAAGAGAATGTGCATTAGAAGAGGCAGTAGCTATGTGTCTTGAAGTTCTGGGGCATGGACAAGACCAAAGAATTGTTGCAACTCATTTTCAACGTGCACAAGAGACAGTGAAGCGGAAGTTCCATGAGGTGTTGGATGCTCTGTTAATGTTGGCTGATGATATTGTGAAGCCAAAAGAGAATGACTTGACCGAGGTAAACTCTCATCTCTCTTCCGATAGTAGATATTATCCGTTTTTTAGTGATTGCATTGGTGCTCTAGATGGTACACATGTGAAAGTGCGAGTTAGGATGGATCAAAAGAATAGATTTTGGAATTCTAGGAAACAATATCCTTCCATGAATGTGCTTGCCATATGCAATTTTGATATGAAATTTGTATATGCATACGTTGGGACACTGGGTAAAGTACACGACACAAAAGTATTAACTTTCTGTGCACGCAACGATAGATTTTTTCCAACACCTCCAAAAGGCAAATATTACCTTGTTGATTTGGGATATCCGAATAGGAAAGGGTATTTGTCTCCATATCCTCGCACTCGCTATCATCCGCATCAATGGAGAGAACATGGAATTCCTAAAAGTGCAAGTGAGAAGTTCAACAAAAGTCATTCTTCCTTGCGTTCTGTTGTTGAGAGAAGTTTTGGAGTTTGAAGACAAAGTGGAAGATCATAGGTGATCCAAAATATGATCTTCGAACCATGTGTAAGATTGTTGTGGCAACAATGACACTTCACAACTTTATTCGAGATTCTAATAGAGCTGATGAAGATTTTTGTGAATTTGAAAGAAATGAAGATTTTGTGGTAGAATCGGTTCACTTGGATTCAGATTTGGATGGGAATATCGAGCCAATACAAGTGGATCCACATGCAGTTCTTCAAAACCATAGATATGATCCTACCGGAGATGCATACATGTTAGGTATTCGAAACGACATTGCGGAACAGTTATGGATATCTCGAAGTTAGATGGTTAGATGCAGCATGCTCATGGTTTATATCAAAATTTTAGTGGTCGCAAAAGAAACGAGAAGAAGAGAAAGATGAAGAGCAAAAGAAAAGAGATAAGGAGAAGCTACGTTCTGTTTTTTTTTTTTTTTTGAAAAAGACTAGTCAATTATAGTTCTTCTCTATAATATTCAAAATCAAATTATAGAACTTACTGTATTTTTCGTTTTTCATTTTCAAAGGCAAACCACAAACAAAGCAAACATTGAAAAAGTGATATTGTACATTCATAAAAATGTCTTTAAAAGGAATCTGTTAATAAAAAAAAAAATTTGGTGATTGCAAAAAATAAAATTGGTGAGCAGATGTTTATATATATATATATATTTAATTTGAGAAATGTTTATATGATCATATATTATAAATTGAATTAATGTTAAAAAAAAACTAAAAATACAAAAATAATATAACTAGAGGCTAATTTAGTAATTTGGTTTTCTAATCACACTCAAATCGCATCCAAATCGCTTTTCCATTCAAAAATATAATGCAATCGCACCACACCTGAATCGTATCTCCATTCACAGTTTTAGTTAGTCGCATCGCTCCCAAATCACATCGCTCCCACACTCAAATCGCAGTCACAATTAAAACGGACTGCCATTCGGGGCCTATGTCGTCGGTGTAGCGTTGGTTCGAGAGGAGAATAAGAAACATTATCAATCGAATTTGTGAGTAAACCGATATTAGATGTCAAAGTCCCACAAAATATTAAGAATCTTGTAGTTCCACAAAGTAATACACATCTCATTTCAAAGTACTTTTTTCAACATGTAAAAACAATCAAAGATTCTTCCCATCATTCACTACACAGAAGATAACCAAATTCTCAAACATAATGTACAGGGTAAACCTCCAAAGGAACATAATATCTCACTGGCCCTTGCTTCGTGGATCTTCAGAGTGCATAGCATTGTAGTCTTTTGTGTAAACTCGGTGCCTCCTCTCCCGCGCGTATATAACCCAAAACACCAAAGATGACATTACAGAAGCAGACACTACCACAAGACCCACATAGATCCACTGTGTGTATCTCTTCAGTCCCGGACAATGATCCCTCTCTATATCAGTGAATGTAGACCTCACAAAGTCACACCCTTGCAGGTCTGCCAAGAACGGACCGTACTTGTACAGTCCATAGCTTACATTAACTGCTGCAGCCATCTGACTGTAAAGCTTTGGTGTCAACCGTCCCTGTGTGCTGCATGTTCCCGGTGTTACGATTTGGCAAGTGAAGTTCTTCCACACCTGCATAAAACAAATTGGGTTTAAGAGTTGTTTTACATTTTGGGTTTTGTTTGATTCTTCTGATTTCAACTTCTAGTTGTGATTCTGAATTCAGAAATTTTATTATTGAATCCTCGGGTTACCTCTGTTGCATTGTTCAGATGGACCTCACCAGGCTGGCACTGGTGGTCAGAGAGATCAGCATTGAAGGGGTTACAGAGCAGGGGCATTAGTGGACCTGACTGGTTGTAATAAAGAGGCCGGAGTTGAGGCGGGAAGTTCCTGTTGGTCATGTTGCTAATGGCATTGTCAAGAAGATTGACCAACTTGTATGTCACAAGCTTAGTCCGATCCAATGTTTCTCTCGCGGTTGCATTATCTACACATGGTAGAATATCATCTAGAGCCGTGTGGGCTGTTGGGTTTTGGACCCACTGGTCCATCGCAACACACGTATCCCCTACAACGCTGACAAAGTAGAAGAAATTCTTTTGAGAAAGCTTTCAATACATTGACTAGACAAATGGTAGAGAGAGAACGGAACTCACTTGTGTAGAAGCAGAAATCCACCACACAAGAAGAAGGTAAACGTGACGAGAATCCAACCAAGGATCACCAACCTACCCATTGATAATCACAACAAACTTTTCAGCATAGAGTGGAACCAATGTAAAACAGAACATAAGAATGAGTTCACTTACGTATATACAAGGCACTGCAGTCCAAAGATAGAGAGAACTGTATGAAATCACAATGAGAATAATCGGCAAATTAACTGCTGCGAGTTATAATCAATAATAATCCCTAAGAATTTGCTCATGCATATAACATGACGACTTACGAAATCCAATAAATGCAAGGAAAAGCATAACAGCAGCAATGATGACGAGCGCAAGTCTCCTGCAACGGTTAGAGACGCAAAATTATAAGCAAAAAGGTGAAAACAGATGAAAGATAACGATATGGCACCAAAATTTTACATGCTGTCCAAGACATTTTGAATCTTGTCTTGGTTCTCCATTGTTTTCACAGAAAGAGTTGTGGCGGACGAGTTAATCTTGCCCTGTATGTTGTCGATGCTCGATAGAACATCCGGTGGCAGAATGCTGGATTGCACATCCACTTTCTTAGCTGCATTGAGATAATCTGACACATTCCTGAGGTTTTCTGACGTGAGATTTGCTTGACTCACCACATAGTCCAAAGTATCGGTTGTGCTAGCATGAAATTTTCCTTGACCCGTGTAAAGGAAAACACATCCTATACTGGAATATCAAACACAAGATACCGCAGACACGTAAATATCCCGCAAGAAACAACGATGACGAATAGAAAAGCAAGTCAAAGGGAGAATGACAATTACATTGCTGCAATTGTGAATGATATGAGGAGGATAAGGGATAGAGCATAAGCAACGCGGGAATAGCCGTAAGGTTGACGGGCACAGCAGCAATAACAAAGGCAAATCAGAGACAAGGATAGCCCAAAGAACACAAACCAGACTACTGCTATTATAATGAAAGGCACCGCTGTATAACCAACAGACTGCACCACAAGCAAAGAATGGGAGAGATTATTTAGGTCAAAAGTTCATAGCATTTCAAAATAACCTTCAGACTCATAATAAAGATGAAAAGTTATCCATATAAGCACAAAACTGATTCAATAAAAGTTAAGACAGTCAAATTCCACTTAGTCAGACTATTGATGGAAAAGCTCAAAACTTTAACAAAAATTTAGGAATCTAAGAAGAACTCAATTCAAATCAACCAAGCCACAACTAGTTGTGAATCCTAACCCATTGATTAATTCATCATGAGCATAACTACACCTTAAAAGTTAAAACAGTCAAACTCCACTTAGCCAGACTTTTGATGGTAAAGATGAAAACTTTAATCAAAATTTAGGAATCTAAGAAGAACCCAAGTCAAATAAACCAAACCCCAACTAGTTGTGAATCCTAATCCATTGATTAATTCATCATGAGCACAATTACACCTCAAAAGTTAAAACAATCAAACTCCACTTAGCCTGAATTCTTAATTTTAAAGATCAAAACTTTAATCAAAATTCAGAAAATCTAAGAAGAACCCAAGTCAAATGAAGCATATCCAACTTGGAAGGAGAGAGATTTCACACAACAAAAAAAAAAACATGTTTGGACCACAGAAATAAAGACTCACAGTCAAATAATGGGAATTGCTTATATTCCATCCACCAGTGTAGAATTTGAAATTATCATTAGGATCTTTTCTTTTGGTTCTCTTTGCAGCCAAAATCAGAGATGAGTTTTGTCCACTTTCCTCTGCAATTACTCTTTCTATTACACTTGTTCTCCATTCTTCTACACCTCCTACTTCTTCGTTACCAACCCCTGAAACCAATCGACACCCAAATTGAAAAATCTTTAATTTTTATAAAAATGGAGAAACAACTTTTTAAAAATATGTGTCGGTCTTACCAGTATTCGATGTTGTTCCAGTGACGACCAGAAGAAACGAAGAGAGTAAACACAAAGACAAAAGTATAAACACTCTTTGAGATCTGGGACACAACATAATGTCTGGTTTTTTTTTTCTCTTACTCTCTGTTTTTTTTTGTTGTTGTAATGGTTATTCTCGATCGTGTTTGAGAAACAATGGGCTCACGTTAAGAACACGATTGATTTGAGAGGCATCGCTTGACGCGGTTCTGTTGTCTTCGTCGAATCCTCGGCGTTTTCATAATTGATTTAATTTTCAAATGAAAATTAAATTGATTTTATTTTTCTTTCAATATTTCGAAAATAGTTTTTAATGTGCATTTGTAAAGTTATTCAATTCTTTTTACAAAAAGATATTCCAGCTTTAATTCAATGCTTTTGATAATTAAATCAATCTTTTATACAGCGTTAGATATATTGTTTAAAAATAAAATCAGAAGTAGAATATTTTGGTTGTGATTATATTCTCTTGTATAATTAAATTACGAAACATAACATGATTTTTATAAAATTATTTACGATAGTTATGCGGCATAACTTATGCCCACGCGTCACAAAACAAATCTTTGAGAATAAGGACTTGTTGTTGGAGGTGACAGAGATATTTTATCTTTTGGGTACAACTGTCCCTTAATTTTAATAATTAAATATTTTGGAACTAAATCTTTCAAGTTCCAAGTAATTGTAATAGATTTTTTTATTCTTTGGTATTCCGTGTTTACTACTGTTATATTTAACTAGCCGCTGTGATGTATGTCGAAGATTATTTTATGCTTACGTGAGTAATTAGAACACTTAGATTTGTTAGTGAATTATTAATTAAAACAATGTTTATTGAGTTTTTTTTTTCATCCGCAATTAATTAAAACTCAAAAGAGTCATTTCTGTGGAATGTTGTTTACATAGGTGATATGAAGCGGTTGTGTACGAACTTTTCGTGCCAGATTATCCGTCTTACTATTAGCCCTACGAGAAATTAAAGATAAATAAAAAGATGAAAACTCCTCATTGTCGCTCTGAAATTCCTCCAAATACACTGAAAACGCCGGCCATTCGATTGGAGAAGACACCATCTTCACCAGGTCTGAACAGTCTGAAAGAACGCTACCTCTTGATTATCTGCACCAATCATACACTTCATCGCCCAGAGAAGGGCCTCGACTTCGGCATGTAGTGGAGATAGACTTCTACGGAGGTTCGCAGCTCCCATGGTTGGCGGCTCTCCATTTGACGATGTACAGAACCAGCCTGTACCGGAGAACGTATCACTTTCTTTCCATGATCCATCCAAAAAACAACTGTATCCCGAATACTCTGCCTCAAGTGAAATATCCCTCACTCGATATTGATTTACCAAGTCCACAGAACCATGGTTTCATTATGGAGCTCAATTTGAGCTGACTGCCACAATTGTGCCTCTTTTTCCGCTAATCGTAATACTTCTGCTGGGTCTGTATCTATGTTTTCAAAAATCTTTTCGTTCCTTGCTTTCCAAATATACCAAATAATCTATGGAAAGGCTGATGAATCAAATCCGTAGGTATTCTCCAAAATAAGTGATCCAAATTCGTAAAATTAGATTCCGTGGGAAAAATCTCCATAGCCGTAGGAATCTGTGAAAGTGCCCAAATCTGCCGTGCCGTGCTGTGAGTTAAAACTGTTTTTTTTTTTTTTTTACAGCAAATTAAAATACAATTTACTACAGTAAAAAAATTCTTGATAACGAGAACTGATTGAAAAGAGATTAAAAAATTTAATGGTATTTTAAAGTTTATTTCTAGTGAAAATTGAAAACATCTAATTAAAAGAGTTATCTCAGCAAAACAAAAATACTAGTGCTGATTTAGATTTTTTTTTTTTTTTTTTTTTTTTTGTCGGCCATTTTATTTCTTTAAAAACCCAAATGGGCTAAGTACAGAGGACACAATCAACAATTACTAGGATAAAACGGTTCTCATAAACAAAGAATTTTGATTAAAAAGTTCTTAACTTTAGAGAAACAGATGAAATTGAAAAGGGGAAAGAGAAAAACACAACAAAAACTAGAAATCTGCCGACGCAGAAGAGAGAGGTCTGACCAAAGTCAGAAAACTATAAACAAACAAATTAAAAAACCGGCCTAGCCAGAAGTGAGTTCGATTCTAAATCGGAATCGCCTTCTCTCTCTAAAAGATAGAAGTGATAGAAAAGTATTATTAATTATTAACCGCCTTCTCTCTCTAAAAGATTTAGATTAATATGCAGATGTGTCAAAGCATTTTAGCCCCGATCATTTTTCTTATTTGTTGGTAATAATCCTCTTTTCTCAAAATAAACATCTTTCCATTAGTCATTATCTTGTTATTATTTATATTATTAATTATTAATCACTTGTGCGTGGCGCAAGATACATTCAATATACTACAAGAAAACAAGCTATTTGCGACGTAAATTTGCGAGGCCCAATATCCCTCGCAAAATTGCGAGGGCTTTGCTAGTCATTTGCTACGATATGGACCCACCTCGCAAATTCGTCGCAATATTGCGAGGCCCAGTTTCCCTCGTAACTTTGCGAGGGTTTTACGAGATATTTGCGGTGAAAACCTAATCCATCGCAAATCACTCGCAAATAGTGAACATTTGTTTATTTTTTCCAAAAGCCATTTAAAACATCTATTGTTCAAATTAATTTGTTTGAAAATACTCTATCCATCGCATAAACATATGTTATTAATTATTACATTTCATTGCATTTAGTAATAATATTTTTCTAGCATTACTAGCACTTCCCTCGCAATATGGAGATTTTGCAATGGCATTGCGATGGATATACGACGGATCCGTAGCATTTCCCTCGCACCCTAAACCCTAAAGTGCTTAAGAGTGTTTGCGAACTCTGCTTTTTAATTATAAAAGTGAATACAAGTGGCCATATAATAGGGTAAGTAGAATATGTGGTGATGCATGAAAAAATAGTTTGATAGTATTCAATACCCTAAGTTTCAATAGAAAATGTATAGAGAAACATAAGTCACTACAAGAAAACAGTCGATTTGCGAGGTAACTTTGCGAGGGCATTGCAAGTAATTTGCTACGACGTGGACGCGCGTCGTACTTCCCTCGCAAAATTTGCGACGGATATTTCCCTCGCAAATTTGCGAGGGATTTACAAGTAGTTTGCGGGAAACAACCTTATCCGTCGCAAATGACACGCAATTCCCTCACAAATCTTTACCCTAAACCCTAAAATACGTAAAAGTGTTTTGCGAACTTTGATTTTCATATATAAAAGTAAATCCAATAGACCATATAATCGGGCAAGTTGAATATGTGGTTATGCATAAACAAAAATTCCATAGGTTTCAATACTAACATTTTCTATTGAAAATGTTATACATACTTTGATCCATATAATAGAGAAACATATAGACCACATTGATGTATTTGGAAAAATGCACATTCGGACGAATTCGAACAATTTGATGATGGAGTAGATTGTAATAAAGATAATTAACTTCCTAATGATTCAAAAAAGCAGCGGCAAGATGGCGCTTCGATGTTTTCCTCTTCGTAAATTATAATTCAAGAATCTATTTCATCTTTGTTCTGTTTTTAACAACAGGAGTGTTAACGTTGACTGTGGGAATGAAAGATGAGAGACAAAAGGAAGCTCCTTCTCGTAAGAATGTGTTTCACATTGTCTCTTTGCTCTGGTAAGTATAGATCAATTTAATCCCTTTCGCAAAGATAGAAAACAAGTTAATGCTGCAAAACACACTTCATCTTTCTTCAGTTTTGGTGTGTTTAATTGATAAAATCTGAAATCAGTGTGTTTTGGGTTTGTGTCTTAGGACCGTACGGTGTGCCATAATCTCTCTAACTTTAAGAAAACCTAGAATTATTTTGCTGTAAGCACAAGTGTAGCAGCATCCTCTCTCCTCAAGCACAAAGCTTTTACTATAGAGGTTAGTATGAGAAATTGCAGATTTGGGTTAAGACTGATCTCTCTAACTTTAACTGTCTATATTTGTGTTGTGTCTTTTGTAGGATGTCAATAATAAATGTTTCTGTTCTGTTTTCATATGAATTTCTCACAGATTGAATGTGATCTTCGCAAGTTGCTCCGAAGAAGAGAGGCAAGATTTATGGAGTTGGTTCTCTGCAGCATGAAATGTCCTCAGATGCTGCTGATCCGGTTGATCTATCTCAGAAGCTTGGAGAAAAGTTTTGAGCAGGAAGCAAACCAGACAACACCAATGGGACCAGAACTGAGGTGGGCAACACGACGGGAGCTGGTGAGACGGGAGCTGATGCTGCTGTGACCGGAGCTGCAGCTCCTGTGACCGGATCCAGTACTCGAACCGGTATCAGATCATGATCCTCTCCATCACAAACCTTTTAATTAGATATGTTGATTGGTTTCTCTTTAAGACTAAGACAATTTTAATGTTTTGTAATCTTAAGTTTAAGCCTACTACGCTTTGTACATTTGAATCAAATTTGCTTTCAAATTTTATTTTTGTTATATTTTTAATCAATTAAAATACGGTATACTTTCTAATAATAACAGTAATTAAGTAGTTTCAACAATAATTATGATATTACACACTGCTAAACTGACTAGCAACTGACTTGCAAATCCATAGCAAATTTTGCTAGGGAATTGCTTGAAGTCTTTTGGAATCTAGCAAATTCATCGCAAAATATGCGAGGGAAGTACTATTAATAAAATTTGCAAGTTGTTTGCAAGAGTAATTGTTCGTCGCAATTTCCGTGCCTTTTGCGAGGGAATATTTTAATCGCAAAAGTTGCGACGGATGTGCTACGGGTCCCACTTTGCGAGACGCGTATAGCGACAAATTGTCTGTCGTCGCAAATCCCTTGCGATTGTCGATTTGCGAGGGATTAGCTATAAATCCTTCCATCGCAAAACGCGTGTTTTCTTGTAGTGAGTCATCATTCATGCATTTGAAGAAAATTCACATTCAGATGAATTCGAAGAATATGACGATGGAGTAGATTGTAATGAAGATAATGATTCAAAAAACTGAATCCAAATGATTTTTAGTAGTGTTTTGTTGTTATTTTCTAAAATTGATTCCCTTTTAGCGAGGGATTTGCGAGTGTTTACTAGCAATTCCCTCGCAAAACAATACCCTAAATTAATTGATTCGTAGCACTTCCCTCGCAAAGCAGGTATACCCTAAACCCTAAATTTCGTAGTACTTCCCTCGCAAAGCAGCTATACCCTAAACCCTAAATTTTGTTTTCTATTTAATCTACCCTAAACCACATAAAAACTGTTTATTTTTTTTTTTAATTTTTTTTTCTATTTAATCCCTAAATTTTGTTTATTTTTGTTTAATTTTTTTTAAGTTTTTTTTTTTCTATTTAATCTACCATAAACCCTAAATTTTGTTTATTTTTTTTTAATTTTGTTTTTTTATTAAACCCTTAATTTTGTTTAATTTTTTTTAATTTTGTTTTTTATTAAACACTTAATTTTGTTTACTTTTGTTTAATTTTGTTTTACCTAATAAACAATTTGCGAGGGATTTACTAGGAAGTCTCGCAATATCCTCGTAATATTTGCTTCGTTTTAATTGGTTGTTTTGACGGTTCCTCGCAAAAGCCTAGCAAATGTTGCGAGGGATTTGCGACATATTTAATTTCTATATATACATCGATAACCTTGTTTGAGCGAAGCTCAAACTAGCCGCCTAAAAACCCTAATCTCCTCTCGTCTTCTCCGACTCTCTCGTTTTCTCCGATTAACCGCTGTTTTCTCCGATTAACCTCTCTCATCCCCTCTCTTCATCTCCGATTCTCTCTTCCCCTCTCTTAATCTTTGATTTTCTCTTCTTCTTCTCGGATATGAAGTCTTTCTTCCTCGATTTGAAGTCTCTCATCTTCGATTCGAAGTCTCGCATCCTCGATCTGAAAGGTTAAGTCTTTCTATCGATTTGGGGTTTTGATTTGTGTTTTAATTCGATTAATTTAGGGTTTAATTTTAGGGTTTCGATTTGGGGTTAATTTAGGGTTTAATTTTAGGGTTTCGATTCGGGATTAATTTTAGGGTTTTGATTTGGGGTTTATGTTTGGGTTTTAATTCGATTTCATGTATTTAATTTGATTTAGGGTTTAATTTTAGGGTTTCGATTCGGGATTAATTTTAGGGTTTTGATTCGGGGTTTAATTTTGGGGTTTTGATTTGGGTTTTATTTCGATTTGCATGTATTTAATTTGATTTAGGATTTAATTTTAGGTTGCTAATTTTAGGGTTTAATTTGATTTTAGGGTTGCTAATGTTTTCTTTTTTTTTTTTCTTGTAGATGTCTTCCGGAAACGACTACAGTCGGTTTTTATCCGCGCAAAATGTAGCTGCTCCTGCCAGATCTCAAGCGAGATCATCTAGAAATCGTAATCCAAGCTCGCCAGCCAGTCAAAACCAACTAGCCGTTGGTTCAACTCCTCCACCATCCAATCCAAACACACCTAATCCATCCAATCCAAACTCACCTAATCCATCCCATTCAGCGACTCAACCAGCTCTCAACAGTCTGACTCTGGACGAGCTACTTGACATAAACACCGTTCTGGTCAGACTTCTTTCAAAGCCCGTGCGCGAAAACGTGTAAGTTAGCTCTGCTTCTTTCATATGATTACTTAATCCACAATGTTACATTGACATTCTTCTTATCTGTTTATGTGTTTTAGTGTGAGAGGACCGGAGACACAACTCCTGATTTCCTTGTGCTCTTAGATGAGACACATAGAAAACCTGATGGGACTTTCATTAATAGAAAGTCAGAGGAGCTCTACAAGGAAGTGACATCAAGGATTTAAGAGGAGGAGTCTCAGCTGTGTTCAGGGGAGAGCTCTGCTTCAGGTGGATTATTTGTGGCTGCCAAGAACAAGATTTATGCTGAGGTAAAGCTTGGGTATTTGGTAAGAGTTTCTCATTCTCTTAGCAGCCAACTCATTATGCTTGTGTGGTTTGTATCAGGTTGCTCCAAGGAAGAAAAAAAGGATATATGGGGTTGGTTCTCTGCATAATGAAGCATCCTCAGTCCATGTTGGTCCACTGCCTACTCATAATGATCGAGAGGTTCTATTGGAGAAGCTTGCTGCTGCTGAAGCTCGTCTTCAACTTCAGGCTGAGAAGATCAATAGCTTCGATGCCTATTGGGAATACCTCGCAGAGAAGGATCCAGTGTTTGCAGGCATGTATCGAGGACCATCTGAACCGGCAAATGCAGACACGACAAGGACTGCGGAGGGCGATCAGACCGGAACCAATCAGACCGGAACCAATCAGACCGGAACCGATCAGACCGCAACTGGTACAAGACCAGGCTCCTCTACTTCACAAGCCATCTAATTTAATGTTGATTGGTTTGTAATCTAAGTTTAAGACCTATGTTTTTAATTTCATGTTTTATGACTTAATTATGCTTTTGTAAGACTTATGGTTTATTTTGTTTAAGACTTGTGGTTTATTTTATTTCATGTAATCTGATTTGATTTTTTTTTTGTTTAAATCAAAAGGTTAAATTGCACCAATACAATCATACTGGATAAAATCAGAATTTAAAATGATAAAATCAAAAGACTTGCAAACGACTAGCAAATCCCTAGCAAAATAATGCGAGGGAAGTGCTACAGTTTTAATTTGCGAGGGATGTAGGTCCTCGCAAATATTGCGAGGAATTATGTTCGTCGCAAAGGTTGCGAGGTAGTTGCAAGCAATAACTGTTTGCAACACGCGATTTGCGAGGAATGACGTGGCGTCGCAAATCCCTTGCTATAGTCGAATTGCGAGGGAATTACGACGAAATATTCCATCGCAAAACCCTTGTTTTCTTGTAGTGATAATACATAAGACCATGTACATAGGTGATTTTATTTGAGTGTCAGTAGCCCAAAATCATTTTTAATGGAACAAAGCATGTATTTGGGTCTGATCCGTATCAGTCCACTGATACATTTGATATTGAGTATCGAGTGACGTGGCAGCACACGGTTGGTCAGCGAAAACGCATTTTCGCAGAAAACAGAGAAAAAAAAAATCATTTCACCTTCTCGATTCTTCTCTCCTCTCCTCTCCTCTCACGGCGATTCGCGAGAAAACCTAGAAACCCATTTCTTTTTGTTCTCTTCTACAATCAGTCATGGGTAAGGGTTTCCGAGCTCTCTCTCTCTAGTCATCGCTCTATGTGTCTTCTTTCTATCTCGATTTCTCGATTATGCTCTATTTGCTTTTGTTGGTCGATCGAATCTTTTCTTCTATTTTTGTTATATGCTTGCGTTATACTTTGTTAACTTCGATTATGAAGCTGATGGATTCGTTTCTCCGGTAGTTAATCTTTCATTGGAAGGAGGATTATCGGCTTTTGGATTAGAAATCGGATTAGGGTTTAGCTGATTGGTTGGCTTTAATTGGCTTGTGTAGAACTGACTCTAGGTATTTCTCTTTGTAATTCATATGAATTTAACTCTTAGATAGTGAGGGATTGGGTATTTTGTGGAATTCTTTGCTAAATTTCTCTACGTTTTTGTTCGAGATGATAACTCTTTTTTTATATATACATTGTTAAACCGTGCATATCTTGAGGCTGAGATCCGCGCATTACAGCTTGATTCGGCAGGTAACTGAAACAGCTAGCTTTAACAGTATATTTGCTTAGTTGTTATTTATATGGTACCAAATTTGGGTGTTAATATATGCAGATGAAAACAATGGTGTTGTCATTCCAGAAGATCATAAGTCAGATGAAGTTGAGAATTTGGATAAAACACCAGAAGGTAAATACTATGTTACTCGGATATTACAATACATACACAAAACCAAATCATTTGACATAGAGAATATTTGATTTAAATACTTTGTGTTTGATGTAATATTTGTAATTGATTCTATTGTCTTCATGGTTTTGCAGTTGTGTGTAAGAGGATGCTGAGAGTGGTGAGATACAAAAAATAATGAGAAGCTGCGTAGGTGAAAAGGTAAACTCCAAAAAAATTTTTAATTTTAAGTGCGTACTTGAATATATTGAAACTGAATTTAATTGTGTGTCTAAAACTGAACATTATTGTATTTAAGTATGAAGTGCATACTTGAATTTAAGTACGAAGTGCATACTTGAATTTAATTGATTAAAGTTTATTGCAATTGAGTAGAACTGTATTTCATTATGATTAAGAACTGTAATTTGTTATGATTACAGATGGATTTCTAAAATTTTGTTTCGGATTTGATTTAAATTCTTTGTATTTGATGTAATATTTGTAATTGATTCTATTGTCTTCATGGTTTTGCAGCTGTGTGTGAGTAAGAAGATGGTGAGAGTGGCCAGATTTTGAAATGATGAGAAGTTGCGTAGGTGAAAGGTAAACTCCAAAACTGCTTTAAATTTTAATTTTATGTGTGTGTAAAACTGATCAGTTTTATTGAAATTGAATTGAATTCAATTGAATTGAATTGAGATTAGGAACAATTGAATTGAATAGAATATGAACACTTGAATTTAATAGAGATTAGGTAGATATGGTTGAGAATGCAGTTGTATTTAAATGGAACAATGAATACAGATGAGGTATACAGTAAATTTAATGTCATCTACGTAAGAATAGTTTATGTTTAATGTCATATTTGTCGTTGGTGATGAGACAAACTGAATTTAAAAAAAAAAAAATTAAATGCAAACTGAACTTAAACTTAAAGTGAAATAAACAAGTGATGAGACATTAGCCATCTAGACTGAAGTTATGTTGATGGCTAGTGTCTCAGTGACTTGAATTAGTAAACCAAACACACAAACTGAACTATAATGACTCGTATTCAATAGAAATTATTTTGATCTTTATTGAGTCTTTGCCTTTATAATGATTCTATGAGAACTTAACAAACCAATTAAACTGAACTAAAACACAAAATGGCTTCCAACTTTAACTTTTCTTCCTCTCAGTCATTTACCAATCTTTTGTTTAGCCAAGAAGAAAACCCAACCCCTTTCAGTCCGTCACATCCTCCTTTTTCTGAATTCCAAACACCCACAACCTTAGTTAGGGAACCTAGAGTGAGATGGAGTGTTCCTGAAGAGAAGGCACTTGAAAGTGCTTGGCTCAACACATCCAAAGACTCAGTTGTGGGGAATGAGCAGAGATCAGCAGCCTTTTGGGATAGGGTTGCAGCATATCATGCTGCATGTCCTGTTGTCTCTAAGCTCACCATCCGAGAGGCAAACACTTGTAAGCAGAAATGGCAAAAAATGAATAAGCTTGTCATGAAATTTGCTTTTTGTTGTGGAGGAAACGAGTTCTTGATCGGGTCATTGGCAGGTTTGGTATGAACGGTACATTGGCTGGTTCATGAGCTGTTGGCTTGGTGGTTGGAGCTTGGTCGATGTCCTCATCAAACAGTGTAGCAGTTTTTGTTCAAAGACGTTGCCTACTACGCCATTCAAAATTCATCTTTTGAAGATGATGCTTCCAGGAGGAGACATATGATGATGAGCGTGGCTGCACTCTTTTTCCCTTATCATGGTTTTTATCCCACTGGGTTTTTCCATGACAAGGTTTTTAACGAGGCAGCAAATAACATGCAAAAGATAGACATCAAAGTAAAAGTCTATCTCTCTTCCAAAATCTTTGTCATATATTGACGAGATATCAGAAGAAGCAAAGAAAATGATCGAGATGCATCATCTACGAAAGCTATGAAGAGAACAAGACTCGTCTGTTCCAGGGGGAGATTGCGTCACTGTACTCTTTTCCCCTTATCATGGTTTTTATCCTATACGGTTTTTCCGTGATAAGGTTTTTAACGAGGCAGTACGTAATACGTCGATAGTGATGAATAATCAAGGGGGAGTGTTAAGAATGGATAATTATATAAATGATTATCCATCACTTAGTATTTATGTTTGTTGATAATTATCAACATCTTTACTTTGTCTCCAAGTGACTTGCTCCCAAAGTAAGCCTAAGTCTAGCCTATCCTATTTCTAACTTATCCTCTCATGTAACTCTCCCTATATATACGTGAGTCCAATGTTGTAAAGAGAAGTAGAGAGAAGTTAATAAAGAAAAGAAGTGTTTCGTTTGTCCTAACTTTCTCCCTCCACTCTCATTCTCTCTCTAATACATATATATCAATACACATACATATATTTATTACGTTATATTTTTTATAACACGTTATCAGCACGATGTCTTTACCGCTAGAGCGTTTACGAGGTAAGTAAAATTTAATATTATTTACATTCATTTATGTTTGTAGAACATAATTATTTTAGACATCGTAAGACTATGCCTTTTTCCGGTTTGATCGTTATAAATGGTAGGCTCTGCCTTCTTTACGATCAAATAAAAAGCTATGTCTTTTCTGGATAGATCGTTATATATGGTAGGCTATGCCTCCTTTACGATCAAATAAATGGCTATGCTTATTCCGGATCGATCGTTATATATGGCAGGTTTTACCTTCCAAACGATCAAATGAAAATTTATATTTTTTCCGGATTGATCGATATATATGGTAGGCTCTGCCTCCTTCTCTACGATCAAATAAAAGCCATGCTATTGAATTCTTATATGGAAGGCGATGCCTCCTGAATTCTTATATGAAAAGGCTATAGTCCATAAATTATTTTTTTTTGTGAATTTTTATGTTTAATTATTTTTATTTATTTTATCCGTAAAGAATAAATATATGTGTTATATGAGATTTAAAGACTTTAAAATATGTCTTTAAAATCAAAAATATATTTCTCTTATGAGAATATATAAAGCATATGTCAATATATTTTTAGACAGTGCAAAATAATTGGAAGGTCTAGATGAGATAGCCTCTCGACTTCCAAATGCATCAGATTCATAATAATTGATGCTTCGTGTTCTCCAAAGTCTCAAAGAAACTCGTGTAGTTTCAAAGAAATTGATCTTTATAATTATTATATTGAGACTATAAATTAATGTGGTATCGAATGTCCGACCACAATGGAGACACACAAATGTATGATTATATCATGCAAAATAAAGATGGTAAAAATATTTATGCTAGTAAACAGAAGTTTGCTAATTGCTATTGCATAGTATAACCGGTCAAGCCATCCCGGTATAACAATGAAATTAATAATGATGATCCAAATCCTGGATCCGTATCAGTGCCAGCAAGGGCCTGATTGGGAGAAATAGAAAAGTTTAATGCAAATTGAATAGCTCTCCCTTAATAAAAGAGATGCATTTGGATCTCTTGTCACTACATCTAAAGATATAAAACCTATTGGGTGCAAGTGGGTATTCGTGTCAAAAAGATGAAATCACACGATATAAAGCCCGACTTGTTACACAAGGTTTTTCTCAAAGACTTGGAGTTGATTATGAAGAAACATATTCTCCAGTCATAGAGGCAATTACATTCATGTACACAACGAGCCTAACGGTCTCTTATCATTTAGAATTGTACCTTATCGATGTAGTGACAACATGTATATATGGATCGTTGGATTTAATATATACATAAAAATCCTAGAAGGATTTAAATTTCATGAGCCATTAGACTCAAAGTCTAATGAAATATGTACGGTCAAATTACAGCGATCACTTTACGGATTAAAATAATCCGGACGCGTGTGATATATTGCTTAAGCGATTATTTCTTAAACAAAGAGTATGTTAATAATGAAATATGCTCTTGCGTCTTTATTAAGAAATCTCCATCGAGATTTGTGATCTTTGCTGTATATGTTGATGACCTATTCAAGCACTGCATGCTTCCGTCCATATTTCTGAGGTAACATTTAATTTATTTAAATTCATTTAAATTTATTTAAATTTTATATTATATAAGGAGTTGAAGGTTATATACCTTCTCCTTAACTCTGTAGTAGGCTAAGCCTCCAGAATTATATGGTCTTTGGCCAAATCACCATTTTTCTTTGATAAGCTCATTAATGGTTGATTTCCGTAATATTTCTCCCAATTAAACCCCGTGTATAACCGGTCTGAAAAAAAAAGATTTGGTCCAAGATGAATAGGATTGAAAAGCCATCATCTTGAGAAGGGTTATTACAAGTCCCACATTTTATAAGGATCTAAGAATAAATACATGATCCGTATCGGATATGTTATTGATCCTAAAGTGGGATTCGGTTCGAGATGAATGAACTCGGAGAGTAATTATCTCGAGGGGGAGAATTAAAGCAATCCCATATCGACAATAAGTCGATTAATTTTGGTGAGTTTGACACCCCAGAGGGAAATAACTTTGGTGAAGTCATATCCTAAAATTTATCACTTTTTGATAAAGTGGAACATCTAAAAATGATGTTCACTCTCAAAATGAGCTTTAAGCGAATCGTTCATAAACGCAAATCCAAGAGATTGCAAAACGATTCATGGTGATTTAATCTCCATGTGTTTACATGGAGCATGCAGTTTTGCATGTATTAATGATTATATACAAGGCCAACGATTTATAAGAAATATTTCTCCCATGTTTTATATACATGATTCGAGATCAAATATTTTTCATTTTTAAATTTTATGGGTGTGAGATATATGTTATAAATGCTCCTCTGCACCGCAAAAAAAAAAAAAAAAAAAAAAATGACATCCTAAGAGGATGAAATATATAGATGCAGGAGATGAGTCTCTGCTCTAAAAATACCGAGCCATCTTATGAGAGATGTGCCTATTGCAAGATTTGCAAATCATCATGTTGATGATAAAAGTTCTCCATCATTATGGGAGAATCATTGAATAGTTTGGATCTTTGAATAAATGACTATAATAAATATGAACTTTAGAGTTCAAAAGTTCAAAAAGATCATTATTCATAATAAATTGCAAATCAAATGCAAAAAGCTGATGGATGAGATTTCATGAAATTATTGATCCTCGTATAAATCCATATGAACTTAAAGTTCATAGGAAATCTCTTGTCCCAGCTTAAAATGCTCTAAAAAAATATGTCTCTGGCGGATGACATATTATTGTCTATAACACGTAAAAAAACGTGATAGACAACTTTGGTTCTAAATATAAAGAAAATCCTCGAAAATAAAAAATGAGCATATTATTACTAAAAAGAGGATTGAACTCTTAAAAAGAGGAGCATATAGACTCCTAAAAAGGAGCAAAGAGACTCCTAAAGAGGAGTAAAGAGACCGATTGGCATGGTTAAAGACGAAATCAGGTACCTGAATAAAATCATTTATAATGATTAAGAGATCTTGATTAACCATGTCATTACGGCAAATATGGAACCAAAGAAAACATAATGTCGACAATAAAAATGATCTAGCACGCAAATGTGATTAATGAGGATCATAAATCTTCGCTCTGTGAGCGTAAAGAGATATATATTGGCCAATAAACAAAGAGGCAGCCAAGCATCAAAAGAGTATTATGATACTTAAGACAAGATGGTGTGTCGCGCCAGGTTTTGTCAAAATCACTCTATATTGAGTTGGTGAATAAATGACTTGAATTGCGCCTCATGGGATGTCTGTAGGACTAATCCTAAAATATATGATATCATAATTCTATTCCCGGGAACTTATAAGCATGATGTTTTTGAAAATCATCAAAACTCTTAAAGAGTTATTTGGAATAAAAGATCTTGGAAAGACAAAAGTGTCTCCAGATATTCCAACTAAACATCTAAAGCAACAAATGTTATATTAGTCACTCCTAAAGGAAGTCGACTCTATATATTTGATCATGAAGCACTATATATAAATACTGACGAGTATTTATATATTTTGTGAATTGTAGCTAGCATATATAAATGCTGACGAGCATTTATATATCTAGTGAATATATTGTACCTAGCAGTTGTTACTGATCTACTTGCAGGATTAATTCATTTTCTCCGACTAGACCTTTGAATGAGTTCAAATGTGTCTTCCACTATCTGCAAGGTACGATTGACTTGGGTTTATTTTATTCTAGAAACCCCGAGTTTGGTTTAGTTGGTTTTGCAGATGGATGATCTATATAAATATATATCGCAAAACAACAACTACGTGGCGTTTCCAACAACAAATTTTTGTCGCCGCTTGCTCAAGCCATGCCAAAATTATTGCGCTCCATGAAGCTTGTCGAGAATCTGTATGGCTCAGATTGATGCCCTCAACATATACAAGAAGCAAGCAATATAGGCACCAGTGAAGAGCCAACAACAAGACATTGTTGCAAATGTTTCCCAATTCAAAGGAAGTTATGTCAAGATCGAGATGACCAGACATATTTCTCCAAGATTCTTCTCTTGCCTCCAAGAATCTGAGAAGAAGCAAGAAGTTGACGTCCAATACATCCGGCCAAGTAACAGTGATATGAACCTCAAGAGATGGAGGTTACTTCTCGGCCAAGAAAGGAGTCCGTAAAAGGCTGAAAGCTCTCTCTACGAACAGAGGGATCGATGGAGTGGTGGTTTGTCTCGTCAAAGGCTGAAAGCTCTCTCAACGGGACCGGCGATCTGATGGAGTGAATGATGGAATGAAGTCGTACCACACGGCTGGAGTGATTCACCGTGATAAAACAACTAGATCTCTTGTTTTGGAGCTGGCTCGACAAGAACAAGAGGGAGGCGAGTTTTCTCTGAAGAAAATTCTAGGTTTTTATTTCATCAAGCGTAAAAGATACATAGGGTTTTTGTGGTGCTTTTATAAGCTCTCCACGGCCACATCAGCCTCTTACAAATCACAAAAGAAATACAAAAAAGGAAACAAAGAAAATAACCAAAATACAATAATTGTTTGTAAATAAAAGAAAGTTCTCCTAAACCCAGAAATAAGAAGAAACACGCATGAACAAACGGTTAGAAATAAAATAAATTGATTGAAACACTTACTTGGCTTAAGAGCTCGTGATAGTGGTGACGGTACAACCGGCTTGAGCTATGATCATAGGCCATGGTCCATGGAATGACGAGAACAAATGGTCTTGATGGTCTCTTGCTTCAGCTTCCTCAACCAATACGAGTAGCTTGTCTTGTCCTTCTTCTATCTTGTTCGGGAAGTCATTCTTGGTGTCGAGCTCTGGATATTCGAAGTCGCTGGCCGCATGATACGTAACGTCAAGTAGCTTCTCGACAAAGGCATTAAACTTGTTGTGGAGGAAACGAGTTCTTGATCGGGTCATTGGCAGGTTTGGTATGAACGGTACATTGGCTGGTTCATGAGCTGTTGGCTTGGTGGTTGGAGCTTGGTCGATGTCCTCATCATTCTCTCCCTCTTGAGAAGGTTTTGACCCCAAAATTTGTGTGTCTCCTGCATCAAAACTTGCCAAATCAGTAACATTGAAAGTATGAGATATGTTATACTCACCGGGTAACTCCAAGCGGTAGGCGTTGTCGTTGATCCTTTCCAAAATCTTGAATGGTCCGTCCCCCCGTGGTGATAGTTTGGAGCTCCTTTGCGGAAACCTCTCAGTCCTCATATGGAGCCATACCATTCACCCGGTTCAAATACTACCTTCTTCCTTCCTTTGTTGGCTTGTTTCGCATATTGTTGTGTTTTCTTTTCCAAGTTTTCCCGAACCCGTTGATGAAGCTTTTGTACGAACTCGGCTTTTCCAATACCATCGTAGCTTACGTCCTCCACTTGAGGTATAGGCGTCAAGTCTAGTGGTGTGATCGGGTTCAATCCATATACTATTTCAAATGGAGACAACTTGGTGGCTGAGTGAGTGGCGCGGTTGTAAGCGAACTCTACATATGGGATACACTCCAGCCAATTCTTGAGATTTTTGCCAATAGTTGCACGCAACAAGGTTGATAAAGTCCGGTTGACTACTTCGGTTTGGCCGTCGGTCTGCGGGTGACATGTAGTGGAAAATAACAACTTGGTACCTAGCTTCTTCCAAAGTGTTTTCCAAAAATGCCCGAGGAACTTGGTATCACGGTCGGAGACTATGGTTCTTGGCAGCCCGTGGAGGCGAACTATTTCTTTGAAGATTAGGTTGGCGGTTTGCGTCGCATCATTTGTTTTGGCACAAGGTATGAAATGGGCCATCTTGGAGAACCGGTCGACGACAACGAAGATGGAGTCTTTGTGTTGAATGAGAGGTAACCCTAACACGAAATCCATGGAGATGTCCACCCATGGTGTAGTAGGAATGGGTAACGGCATATACAACCCGTGCGGATGAGCTCGAGACTTGGCCTGCTTGCATGTCACGCATTTTGAACACAATTGTTCCACTGATTTCTTCAAGTGTGGCCAGTAAAAATGTTCCTTGACGATGGCTAATGTTTTGTCGATCCCAAAGTGTCCCATTAGACCACCTCCATGAGCTTCTCTGACTATGAGCTCTCGTAGTGAACATTGCGGAATACATAACCGTTTTGCGCGAAATAGAAATCCTTGTTGCTTGTAGAACAACCCCACGCTTCCCTTTTCGCAGTCTTTGTAGTAGTCCCCTAACTCATAATCAGTTTCATAAAGGTCTTTAATGTACTCAAAACCCAATACCTTTGCGTCCATGGTAGAGATGAATGCGTGTCTCCGTGAAAGTGCATCCGCGACGACATCTCCTTACCCTTCTTGTACTTAATGATGTAAGGAAAGGTTTCGATGAATTCTAACCATTTAGCGTGCCTCCGTTTAAGATTAGTCTGCCCTCGGAGGTGTTGTAGTGTCTCGTGGTCGGTATGGATTACACATTCCCGGGATAGCAAATAATGTTGCCATGTCTCCATAGCTCGGACCAAGGCATATAGTTCCTTGTCGTATGTCGGGTAGTTTAAAGATGCTCCACTTAGTTTTTCACTGAAGAAAGCGACGGGTTTGCCTCCTTGGGTGAGCACGGCCCCAATGCCTATTCCCGAAGCATCACATTCAACTTCGAATGTCTTGTTGAAGTCGGGTAAAGCGAGAACTGGCGCTTTGGTGAGACTGTTCTTCAGGTTTTTGAATGCATGCTCTTGTGCCTCTCCCCATGTGAATGGAACTGTCTTCTTGATGACTGCCGTGAGGGGAGCCGCTATTGAACTGAAATCTTTGACGAACCGACGATAAAAACTAGCTAAGCCGTGGAAACTCCTCACTTGGCTGATATTCATAGGCGTAGGCCAGTCTTGTATGGCTTTGATCTTCTCTTCATCCACCTGTAATCCGTGTTTACTGATAATAAAACCTAAAAACACAAGACGATCAATGCAATAGACGCACTTCTTGAGGTTTGCGTAGAGGCTTTCCTTGCGGAGAGTCTTTAATACAAGCTCAAGATGTGCAATGTGGTCCGAGAGGCAGTTACTATAGATAAGAATATCGTCAAAATAAACTACGACAAACTTACTGATGTAGGACCGCAAGACATGGTTCATGAGTCGCATGAACGTACTTGGAGCGTTAGAGAGACCGAAAGGCATTACAAGCCACTCATATAGGCCTTGCTTGGTTTTAAAGGCGGTCTTCCACTCGTCCCCTTCTCTCATTCGCACTTGATGATAGCCGCTTTTGAGATCAATCTTGGAGAACACGGTAGCTCCACTTAACTCATCTAACATATCATCTAGACGTGGAATAGGATGTCGGTATTTCACTGTGATGTTGTTGATAGCCCTACAATCGACACACATTCGCCAAGTACCGTCTTTTTTTGGGACTAGAAGGACCGGGACGGCGCATGGGCTCAAGCTTTCTCTCACATACCCTTTTGTCATGAGCTCTTGAACTTGCGTTTCTAGTTCCTTTGCTTCGTCGGGGTTCATTCGATAGGGAGCTCGGTTGGGTAATGATGCTCCTGGAACGAAGTCTATTTGATGGTCGATACCACGTATAGGTGGTAATCCCTCTGGAATTTCCTCGGGAAAGACATCTTGATGTTGTTCCAATAGACGACGTATTTCTGGTGGTAGTTCTAGCTCCTTAAAATCTGCACTTAACACTTCTTTAAAGATCATTAGTAGAACCGGTTCCTTGGAGTACAAGGTTCGCCGGATGTCACCAGAATTAATTAAAAAATTCGACTTGATAGAACTTGTTTCTTTGGAATTTTTGACCTGTAATTCGTGCACCTGGGATGGAGAAAGAGGGGCTAGTTGATACCTCTTATTGTTTTGCATTACCGTGTATAAATTTGTGCGGTCGTTGTGAGTGGTTTCACGGTCAAACTGCCATGGCCTTCCGAGAAGTAAATGGCTGGCTTGCATTGGGACTACATCACAAGTCACCTCATCATGGTAACGTCCAATGCTAAAGGCAACATGGACTTGATCAGAAATCTTCATCTCAGATTTGTCGTTGAGCCATCTTAATTTGTATGGTCGCGGGTGCTTGATTCGTTCCAAACCTAACTTGTTAACCATATACTCACTAGCAACGTTAGTACACGATCCACCATCGATAATTAAACTGCATACCTTGCCATTAACAGAACAACGCATATGGAAAATGTTTTCTCGTTGGGCTGTCTCTTCCGGTTCAACAATTGCACTTAACACCCTTCGTATGACAAGGATCTCGCCTACTTCCGGGTATTCAACCTCATCGTCGTGGCTGTGGTGATCATCCTCGCCTTGGGATTCGTATTCACCAGCGTCCGTGACAATCATAATGCGTTGGTTAGGTCAATCTCGTTGCATATGACCTCTTCCTTTGCATTTGAAACACGTGATGTCTCTAGCTCTTTGGTTGTTGGCGTTGTTTGGAGTCTCTCTTTTACCCTCTCGAGTCGTATCTGGTGCCTTAGGCTTAGACCATGAGTCTATATCAATAGCCTTGCCTTTATCGAATTGCTTGTTGTCGGTTGAGTTCCAATTGTTTGGTGGTCGGGTGCGTGTGTAGGCAGTTTTGCGTTTGATATGCTGCTCGGCTTGGACGGCTAGGTGTAGTAAATCTTGCATGTCATGAAAAACTTGTCTCTCGACCTTTCGATTGATTCGATCTTGTAACCCATCTACAAAGTGAGCCATTAGCGTTGCTTCCTCTTCGTCGGTGTCCAAACGGTTCCGTACATATTCAAACTCTTCATAGTATTCTTCTACCGATTTGTTGCCTTGTGTTAACTTCCGGAAATGTTTCTGGAGATCTCGTTGATAATAAGGGGGAAAAAATCGTCTACGCATTAATTCCTTCATATCGACCCATGAATCAAGTTGGCGTTGACGGTTCTTCCTTCTTTCGATAACTTCTCTGTCCCACCACGCTAAAGCTTTGTCAGTGAGTTGTGCCACAGCAATAGCAATCTTTTTTGGACCCGTATAAGTGTAAACTTCAAAGATGTGATCCATTCTCTTTTCCCAATCAATATAAGCTTCTGGATCAACTTTTCCTGCATAGAGTGGTGGCTTAAGCTTCAGCTCATGGTTTGTGTTTCGGGCTGGTGGTTCGTCGCCATCGGCATTAGCTTGTCTTGGATTCCTTCTCCGCTGGTTCTCTCCACCTCTATCTCTCCGGTTATTGTCAATACGACCCGGATCGCTGTCATCATCGGAGTAATGTCCCCTGTTTTGCCTCCGTCTATTGCCTCGATTCCGTCCTCTTCGATTCTGTACCATGTTGTCTGGATCGTCACTGCTAGAGGCAGATTCCTGTTGGTCATTCCGAGCATTGGCATTGGCAGCCTCGCCACGTTCCGGAGGAACTTGACCCAATCCCAGACCGTTGTTTAACACCGGCATTGGCTGATTTCGTTGTTCAACACGTTCAAGTCGTTGACCAAAGACTGTGAAGTCAGCTTGGATCTTCCTCAAAATCTCCATCATTGATTGATCATTTGCAGCTTCGTTTCCCATTGTTGAGAAGTTCCTTGAAAGAAGACAAATAACAACGTATCAATGGAAACGTATGAGTAACAGATGCTAAAGACAAATAAAATAAAATTGACAACGTGTTTGTGTTTTTGTTTTGTTTTGTTTTTTTTTTGACGAAGGAAAACAGATGCTAAATTAAAAGAGTTCTAATCGATATTAATCAATAGAACTAAGATTGTGAGAAAAAAAAAAAAAAAAATTGATGAAACGATGAACAAATGTAAGAAATCTGGGTTTTTTTTTTTTTATAAGAAAATTAAACGAAACAAATTCTAAGTGATACGAAGAAGTATATAAAGGATTGACACAACCTGGTCGAAATAATCTTGGCCTTCAAAACCTAAGCTCTGAATACCAACTGATATGAACCTCAAGAGATGGAGGTTACTTCTCGGCCAAGAAAGGAGTCCGTAAAAGGCTGAAAGCTCTCTCTACGAACAGAGGGATCGATGGAGTGGTGGTTTGTCTCGTCTAAGGCTGAAAGCTCTCTCAACGGGACCGGCGATCTGATGGAGTGAATGACGGAATGAAGTCGTACCACACGGCTGGAGTGATTCACCGTGATAAAACAACTAGATCTCTTGTTTTGGAGCTGGCTCGACAAGAACAAGAGGGAGGCGATTTTTCTCTGAAGAAAATTCTAGGTTTTTATTTCATCAAGCGTAAAAGATACATAGGGTTTTTGTGGTGCTTTTATAAGCTCTCCACGGCCACATCAGCCTCTTACAAATCACAAAAGAAATACAAAAAAGGAAACAAAGAAAATAACCAAAATACAATAATTGTTTGTAAATAAAAGAAAGTTCTCCTAAACCCAGAAATAAGAAGAAACACGCATGAACAAACGGTTAGAAATAAAATAAATTGATTGAAACACTTACTTGGCTTAAGAGCTCGTGATAGTGGTGACGGTACAACCGGCTTGAGCTATGATCATAGGCCATGGTCCATGGAATGACGAGAACAAATGGTCTTGATGGTCTCTTGCTTCAGCTTCCTCAACCAATACGAGTAGCTTGTCTTGTCCTTCTTCTATCTTGTTCGGGAAGTCATTCTTGGTGTCGAGCTCTGGATATTCGAAGTCGCTAGCCGCATGATACGTAACGTCAAGTAGCTTCTCGACAAAGGCATTAAACTTGTTGTGGAGGAAACGAGTTCTTGATCGGGTCATTGGCAGGTTTGGTATGAACGGTACATTGGCTGGTTCATGAGCTGTTGGCTTGGTGGTTGGAGCTTGGTCGATGTCCTCATCAAACAGTGTAGCAGTTTTTGTTCAAAGACGTTGCCTGCTACGCCATTCAAAATTCATCTTTTGAAGATGATGCTTCCAGGAGGAGACATATGATGATGAGCGTGGCTGCACTCTTTTTCCCTTATCATGGTTTTTATCCCACTGGGTTTTTCCATGACAAGGTTTTTAACGAGGCAGCAAATAACATGCAAAAGATAGACATCAAAGTAAAAGTCTATCTCTCTTCCAAAATCTTTGTCATATATTGACGAGATCAGAAGAAGCAAAGAAAATGATCGAGATGCATCATCTACGAAAGCTATGAAGAGAACAAGACTCGTCTGTTCCAGGGGGAGATTGCGTCACTGTACTCTTTTCCCCTTATCATGGTTTTTATCCTATACGGTTTTTCCGTGATAAGGTTTTTAACGAGGCAGTACGTAATACGTCGATAGTGATGAATAATCAAGGGGGAGTGTTAAGAATGGATAATTATATAAATGATTATCCATCACTTAATATTTATGTTTGTTGATAATTATCAACATCTTTACTTTGTCTCCAAGTGACTTGCTCCCAAAGTAAGCCTAAGTCTAGCCTATCCTATTTCTAACTTATCCTCTCATGTAACTCTCCCTATATATATACGTGAGTCCAATGTTGTAAAGAGAAGTAGAGAGAAGTTAATAAAGAAGCGAAGTGTTTCGTTTGTCCTAACTTTCTCCCTCCACTCTCATTCTCTCTCTAATACATATATATCAATACACATACATATATTTATTACGTTATATATTTTATAACAATAATCAATTTTTGATAGTAACTACATGAAAAAAGTATGGAGATGATAAGCTAAAAATATTTAGAGATTAATTTTCTACACCAAAAATTTAACAAAACCTCAAGAAATCAAACTTTTTTTTTTAGTAAGTTAAAATCACTAATGTAGGTAAATTTTAAAATATTATTAGTGATTAAATCTTCCTAAAAACGTAAATTTACTTCTTAAAGTCCTGAGACATTTATTACGCCAGATGTTTCATTCTAGAATAAATTTCTCTTAATTCTACTGTTTTAAAATCGATACGATAATACTCTAATATAGAATAATATCCTTACAAGAATCACGTTTCTTAGTTGACTGGGTTATGAAAACCAACGTGTTCGCCATTATCTGTCTTTCGTACCATTTTTTTTATAATTTGCTTTATCTTCTTCTTCTTTTCTGACAACGCTCTACTTTATTTTTCTCACTAAAAAAACAATTCTAAATGTAAGTGTTAGTTCATTTGTTGTGCTAATGGTATAGTCACACTTGGCCTCTTCCATGTCCAAGGAGAACAATCCAATGATATATTTTGGTACCTCTGAGGATCCATTTTTTTATTTTTGTTCAAAAATCTATGTAATAATAATAATTTGAATAAATATCCTATATAGTCGTATTTTTTCGTTGTAACCGTTTATAAATTATTTTTAATTTATTCTTAATCTAAATAAATTATTTTAACGGTTTTGTTTTTTCATCAAAATTTTTTGTTAAATATTTTAAGGGTTTTTGTTTTTTGTAGTCTTGAAGGCTCATTTTTTTCTATTACTCATGTATTCGACCAACTAGTCATCGAATAACGTAACTAATTAGTTATGAGAAGACCAATGAGGGCTGAGGGTGGATGAATAAAATGGAGTGTCTAGCGGGTTAAGACACTTCCAAATGTTGGTTGAACCCAAGTGTAAGGGTCGAGAGACCTATTCTAACACTCGTCTTAAGACCTAATTCTCTAGTCAAATATGATATCTCGTGTATTTGTCATTGCTAAGACATTTATTAAAAAGTTGAATAAATAACAAATTTTAAAATTTGAGATATTAAAATACATAATGGCTAAGTAGAAATCAGATTTGGTGTGAGCAAATTAGACATTCTTACCTGATTATGTGAGCCAATTAGATATTTGTTTAAATTATGAAAGCCTAAGGGTAAATTTAAGCGGTACTTGAATCTTTAATCTATTTTATAAAAGAATAATCTATGTTAATTTGGTTTCTGTGGTGTAATATTGAACATTGGCTCAAACTAAATGAAAATGGCTAGGTAATATGATTAGCTCAAACTAAACACTTTGATTCAAAATGTGGTAGGAAAGCTTTCATACACGCTTTGATGCGAAAAATCTAGGCTAGGGGCTTTCAATCCACAATGTGGTAGTTGAGCAAGGGAAGTTGTTTTGGTCTGTCGACCATTCTTCTCTGCACCGATGTTATCAACTTGGGATTGATAAGAAGGTATCCATGGTATGTTGCTCCAAAGGACGCAGACCGGTTGCATTTCGGTCGTAGAGGACTCTCGGTGGTTCAAGTCCAATACTTGTACAACTTTAGCTAGTCTTCTCGATTATTAGTCCTCCAAAATCCTTGGCTCTAACTCATGCTCACCTCCTTTTTCACGCTTTTTCCATATTTTAGCTCCAAAGTCCGTCATATTCGTCAAAAGTCCCTAAAAATAGGAAGACTTGAAAAGTATGCAAATGGCCTTAAAGTACTTAAAAGACGAAACAAAAATGCAAGAAAATAAAATGGAAATGAGACTCTAAAGTAAAAACGTTAGGAACCCATGTCATTACAAAAAAAAAAAATTAAAGATGAAAGTAAATCATTTTTTGTTTTCTTAAACCAGAGGGTAATAGTTTTATTATTCCACACATTTAAGTACATCCATTTTACAAACTAAAACAAAAACAATTTCTACTCAAGATCTACGTAGGCTTCAAGTTATGAAACATAGCATCCCATCGTGTGTCATCGTCTCTTTTATTATACTCCACATACACACTTGGGCTCGGTGGTCTTCCTTTCAACGGCCCTGATAATCTCAACCGTTCGTTTAAGTTTCCATCTAACTGTCCCGACACAACAGGGCTTCTATAAGCTAATATGAGTCTTTCTTGCACACTTCGATCCAACGGTCCAGATAGGTTCATGCTTCGGTTGCTTACTAACGTCATTTTCTCTTGCATTCCATGTTTTAGATCCAACGGTCCAGATTTCGCTATCATTTTCCTCTTGATCACAGGTAATCTCTCCACTTGTACCTCAGCTTTTTCAGCATTGACTTTATTGTTATTACCTGAAAGTTTTTAGCTAGTTTTGTCAACATGTAAAATAAAGTTTTAACTAACACCACTTCAACCATAAACCCTAATAATCCCGACATAACATTTTAAAAAAAACAAAGGACTCATGGATCTACAAAACTTAGACTTCTTGCTTCACTCATAAATGCTGTTTTTGTTCCAAAATATTATTTTTGTTGTAATTAGTTATATATAAAGAAAATCCCGTAACAATAATTCGTGATTAGGTTCATTAACTTGACCTACCAGTCAAAAACGTTGCGGTACGGCAGGCTCGCGTCGGCGACTGTTTCTCCTTAAGCGGTTCAACCACGGCAGTTCCTCCGAGATAAAGCCATTTATTTAATCGATTGCCGACACTTTTGGTGGCCTTGATGACGACGGATATGAGTTTGGTCGAGAAGGGACGATGCTGATAGGAGCTAAGTGCTTGTGTTTCTCTCTTTGAGAGTTTGAGAATCTCTACGCGGTGTTTGGCTACAGTAATACCAAGTCGCCGGAGAAAGTTGTGGTTGAAAAGAGCTATGTCTTCACTCTGGAGCTTCTTTTGAGCGAAGATGAGTCCGTACTCGTAGCTTAGGGTCGGATCAAGGTCGGTTTTAGACAGCCATGAGAACCAATCCATCGTCTGTGTGTATATGATGTTCTTTGAGTTTGGAGGACATATGATATGTATATATATATGTGTAGGTGTGTGCGCAATTTATGGGTTATCTTTTGGACTAAATATATTCATGGTTGCATACATATACATACATGAACGTTTTTCTAACGTTTAAATAACACTTAAATTGATAACATATATTGTAGATGTGTTTTGGTCCCCTCTAAGAAAATTAAATAAATTAAAAATGATATAACAAATTGCTCCAAAAGTATATGTAATTTTGATTAATTTCTGGAAAAAAGGAAGAATTATGAGGTTATTGTTTTATAAATGAGGGACACACATAAGGGACAAATAAAGGAGTAACGAAAAATACGGCTTTAGGCTTTCTATATTTCTAAAGCAATAATGTAGTGGTTGTGACTTAGAGAGATTTCTTTTTCAACCACTCCATTTTCTTAAGTTTTCGAATAACAAACATGTGATATTGAATGAATTCACACCACAGTTTAAAATATTATAGTAATTTCTTCTTTAAACTGGATCTTCATTCATAAAGAGTGCGATTAAACGGACCTTGCACCAAATAATAATGTAAAAGGGTTAGAAGCCTAATTACATACAACATTGTATTGATTTTCTTTTGGTGTTGAGCATGGTGCCGAATTTAGCTCATAGTAAAGGTTTTCTCCATTTTATTACTAGTTTTTTTATACAAATAATTTTAGCACTATTTTTAATCAAGTAGTTCCATACTTTGCGACCTATAATGAATTTTGACCAAGAACCAAATCATCAAAATTATGATTCAATATATTTGTTTCTCTTCCAAAAAGTTCTCTAAGATCAATCGGTTAAACTACTTCTTTCGTATAAGTACAAGCGAGAATTCATAGTATAGTAAAATAAAGAAGAAAAAAATCTCTTGTTTTTGGTACTTTTCGCAATCAACGGACCGCAAGTTTTTATATTGGTTCCATTTAAACATAAATCATGATAGACTTTCTATCCAGCTCTTAAAAACTAACTATAACCCATAAAACATGGACCACAATGTATAACTAATCAACAAATTAATTTGGTAGAGCAGATGCACAGTAGTCAATGCTCCACTCCCCAATTTATTGGCCGAAAGGGATCCATTAAAGTGGTAGCCCCAAGTAGTACCTGTCTTTAACCCAACCTCTACCTATACGCCTCTCTCCTCTATTTTTCTTTGTCTTTCAGCTGCACTTGATTTGGTGAATATGCTTCATTTTAGTCTCCGCCTTTCACATGCTTATCTTGTTATGGGTCTCATATCTGTATGGGTGGGCATAAACGGAGCGGATATCCGGTTTTTCTAAGATATCCGTATCCGTATCCGCATTATCCGCCAATTTAGTATCCGTATCCGGATCCATAAATTTCGGATATCCGGTATCCAGATATTCGTAAAAAATACGAATATTCGCGGATATGTGTTTTAAATAATTCTATTTTATTTATTTAAAATTTCTATTAATTAAGTAACATAAATATGCATTAAATGAATGTTCAAAATTTAGTTTAATGTAAAATAAATAGTGTTGGTTAGGTGGATACTTAGGTGGACATCCTAGATGGAGAGACAACTCCCTAATTATATATTTAGACTAGATTGTGTAACCGCGCGTTGCGCGAGATTTAATTAAAAACTTTTATTCTTTGAGTATAAATATAATCAATTGAATTAAAAAATATTATACTTTACTCATGTGCATTATCTTTCCAAAGTAGTAAAAAGTTTATCACATTTTTCACTACAATTTTTCTCGTTATCTTCTATGATTCACTCGTTGTCTCTCCACATCTACTCTCTTTTCTCCTTAGCTCGTATCTATTTTCTCCTTCATATCTTTCAATACTCAAGTTTTTTATAAGTTTCATGATCTTTTTATTAAAGTGAACATAAAAAACAGAAATTTGGGGAGATGTTTGTTGTAATATTTTTTTGACCATATTTTGGTGCATCTAAAATTATTTTATAGAAAACAAATCTCATATATGGAGTCATTCTTATTCACAGACATATAATTTTAACATAAAATTTTGCAATTTTATCTTGACCATTTGAAAAATACAAAATTCTCTTTCTATATATATATAATTTAGGGAGACTCACAAAAATGCCCCTTTTTCAATACCCCTTTTCAAAAATGCCCCCTTTGGTTGTCCATTTTTAAAAATACCCCTTTTTATGTACAAAATGACTAAATTACCCTTGTTTTTATAAAAGATATCACAAATATATAAGGAAAACATGAGAATGTGCACACATCAAAATTACAAATTTGATTTTGTAAAAACTTGTAAAACCTTTAAAATACCTTGTAAAATTTTCCCGTAAAAATTTTTCCCGCCAAAAAAAAATTTTTGCGGGAAAAGTGATTCCGCAATTTTTTTGGCGTTAAATTTTTGGCGGATCAATTTTTTTGGCGTTAAATTTTTTTGCCGTTAAATTTTACAAGGTATTTTAAAGGTTTTTACAAGTGTTTTGGCGAGAAAATTGCGGGATCACTTTTCCCGCCAAAAAATATTTTGTATTTTGTGGACCTAATTTTGTTTCAAATAAGGGTAAAATGGTCATTAAAAATTAAAAGAGGGCAAACTTAAAAATGGACTCTCAAAGGGGGTATTTTTGAAAAGGGGTATTGAAAAAGGGGCATTTTTAACAATTTCTCTATAATTTAACGTATATTATGATTCTAGATAGTATTCTTAATGTTGACTTTCCTAAAATGTGACACTCACGAATTCATAAAAATTATTCTAAATTTAGAATACATTTATTTTATAAATAACAAAATCCTTCTTATTTCTAATAAAATTTTTCTTCAGTCTACCATTATTATTCAAATTCTAAATAGCATACTCAAATATTATTATTACACAATTTTATTATTTTATAAGATTATTTTGTTTGAATTTTGGTGTTTAAGATAGTTTTTTTTTTTGTTTTCTTTCAAATCACCTTAGTTTTTTTTAATCTATGTTAATTTTCTAAACACTGACTAATATTACGTATTTTTTTAGGTATTCATATTTTTAAAAAACAAAGCACCACTGTTTAACTTAGAAAACATTAATAATATAGAAAATTTTAATAATTTTAACTATTTATATTATATTGTAATTATAAATAATAATATGTCCTAAATCCTTCTTATGTTTTAATTGTTACTCACATTTTGAATGTCTATTTTCAAAATGAATTGCTTTTTACTTTAAGTAAAAACCTTTAAATTTGGTATTTGTTTTTAACTCTACTAAATAATTATAACTCTTAAGATAATTGATGTACCGTTAAAATATATGATAAGTTTTTTTCTTCTATCTCTAACTATTTTAAAATATTTACTCATATTTTAAAATATAATTATCTAATTTATATTTATCCAATCTCCATTCAAAATTTCATATTTTAAGTTGTATATTTTTTTTTGTTTCCTCATGATATTTCATTTAATTTTGCCAATTATTGTTTTTATTTAATGTGTGATAAATAAGATATGTGAAGCCCACAAAAATGTAAAGTATGGTGACATAGATGCTGATGTGGACCCCTTAGATAGAGAAGAGACTCTCTAATTATATATATAGATTATAGTCAAAATAAAATAAAGAGAATCGTTCTTACCCTATTACATTTGATAAACTAGTGTGATATTATTTATTTTTTACACATAGTGAAACATAAAATTGTTCTTACAAAATTTAATAAAAACTTTATAATAGATCTTACAAATTTTAATGCTTTTAACTTGAAATTATTTATAGGGATAATATGTAATTTTCTTTATAATGAGTTGAATTACTTGGCCCTCGGTCCATAATATAGCCGATTTGTTAATGAAAAAATAATTACTAGTTTGAATTATTAGTGATAACAACTTTATTTTCTATTATGACAGTTTATTTTTTTTTAACAAAAATCTTGAGTGTGATAGCAGATTTGTTATATAATAATTGAAATTGCTAGAATGACATATACTCGCATTCGAAAAGTTTTATGTTATGACAAATTTTTTATATTATGACAGATTTCAAATAGGTTCTAAAAAATATGTTGTATGGTGGCAGTTTTATTGATGAAAATAGAATTTTAAATCTGCACAATAAGGTAACGACAAATATATCTTACCGCAAATATATTAGAATACTCATGTGTGGCTGTCTCCTTGTTAGTATAAGATTAGATTAATTTTTTTTCATTGTATATATCTATTTTTTATTTATATTTTTTTTTGTTTTGTATTTTTTTTTTAATTTTCTTTTCCGTTTTCAATATTTTTTCGCTTTGTATTTATTTTAGTTATTATATTTAAATATAATTAAAAATAAAATGGGTATTTAATCTTTTAACACAAAACCTACATTATTCTAGTAAACCACAATATTTAGGTGTTAATCTAGTTATTTTCTCTAGATTTGTGTCAAACTAGTTAAATTTGAGTTTTATATTTATACATTAAAAATATCTTAAACAAATGACTTTGATGTCCTCGAATATAAATATTTAATAAATTAACGAAAAGGATGCCTCACATGAAAAAACGTATTGGACTGGTAATATATTGAGGTATTGCATTTCAATTTTTCTTGTGGGTGATCTATTCTTCTCTTAAGATTTGGTTAAGATTACCAGAAAAGTTGCTCGCATTTGAACAAAGTAACATCGTGTTATTGGTAAGTTTTTTGTATTGCGATTTGCATCTCTTATATATATTATCAACAAAATATTAAAATTGATTTATTATTGATCTAGCAAATATATAATTAGATTATATTATTTATTGATCTAGCAAATACATATATTGGATAATATTATTTTGTTAGACAACAACATACGTCTTTCGAACCGTCATAAATACATTTACCGTATAGTAAACCGCTTTTAGCTACACAAAACCTCTCGCATTCGTCATTACCTCCTCTATGACATGGATCTGGTGTATAACATTGTTTATACTCTTGCTTTATTTCAAAACCTATTTTACAATAACAATTTAAAAAATACTCATTC